AGGCCCTTCCACGGTCACTGAGCAACACACGTGGAGCACCATGACGCAGTATAATGGCTCGGAGGATGAAATCGGCAATCTCAGAAGCTGAACCTGTAGTAACGGATGCCGTCTCGGCGTAGCGCGTCAAATGGTCAATGGCTGTTACCATCCACCGGTTTCCAGCAGCACTGACTGGGAGGGGGCCATAAAGATTGACGCCTACAACTTCGAATGGTGTGGCTGGGCACGGAAGAGGCTGTAGCTTACCGGCGGGAGCAGATGTTGGTAGTTTTCTACATTGGCAGGTAGTGCAGGACCCGACGTACCGAGCTACACTAGTGGTAATGCCTGGCCAATAAAACCGACTTCGAAGGCGATCGTAGGTTTTATGGTAACCAAGGTGACCAGCAGTCGGATGGTCATGAAGTGCCCTGAGGACTTCGGACCAAAGCGATCGGGGTAGAACGGGAACCCAGCGCTGATCGTCAGGATGGTATATTTTGCGGTACAGCACCGAGTTGTCCAGCTTAAATTGCGAGAGTTGGCGACGGAGCCTTGCATTAGGTGGACGGGAACTGCCAGTGAGGTAGTCTATAATACGTCGACAGTATGGGTCAGCCAACTGTCGAGAAGGAAAATCGTGCGGGTCGTCCGAAGGCAGCTGGTCCATAGAGGCGAGAGAGGAAACCGCCGTAGACGTGGACTCCGAGGGCGTGTTGTGCAAATTGATGGCGGAAACCCCGAGTGGAGTCGCTGGTAGTGGGCAGCGAGAAAGAGCATCGGCGTCACTATGCTTCCTGCCACACTTGTACACGATCTCAAAATCATATTCTTGGAGGCGTAGAATCCAGCGTCCGAGGTGTCCCGACAAGTTCTTGAGTGTCGAAAGCCAACATAAAGCATGGTGGTCGGTCACAATGGTGAAATGGCGGCCATGCAGATATGGACGAAATTTCTGTACTGACCAAACGATGGCGAGGCACTCCTGCTCGGTGATCGTGTAGTTCCTCTCGGCTGCGGAGAGGACGCGGCTGGCGTATGCAACGACTCGCTCTCGCGAAGAGTTGTCGCGTTGCAGGAGCACGGCTCCTAAACCGCGGCCGCTAGTGTCTGTGTGCAGGAAGGTCGGTGCATCATCGTGAAAATGAGCAAGTACAGGGTCGGTCGTGAGGGCACTCTTCAACCTGTTGAAAGCCGATTCACATTCCTGAGACCACTGAAAGGGCATACCGGAAGCAAGTAGCTTATGAAGTGGTGCGGCTATGGAGGCAAAGTTTTGTATGAATCGCCGAAAGTAAGAATGTAAGAAAGTAAGTTTTATTAGGCCCGGTTCCTCGGGCCTAATAAAAGGTAATCTAAACCAAGACTTCATACGTGGTGGAGAGTGCTGTTAGATCCCCCGCCATCCTCTCGACCACTCTACCCCCTGGAGCTACGTTCAGGTCGCCGCTTGGGCCAGGTGTCCGGAAATATGTTGCACCAAGATGAGGCCGGTGCTGCAGCCGTTCCCACTCAACCACCGCATGCCGCGCCTTCTCACGTCATCAACAGCCTCCAGCGTGAGCCCCATCCCTTCGCTGGTATGCGCGGGGAAGATGTGGAAGAATGGCTGGACGATTTCGAACGTGTCGGCGCTGCTAACCGGTGGGATAACACCTACAAACTCGGTCACGTGTCATTCTACCTCACGGGTGTCGCGAAGACGTGGTTTCTCAACCACTTTATCGACATCCCCGACTGGTCAGCCTTCAAAGATCAGCTTCGCCATGTCTTTGGCACACCGGCTGTTCGTTCGGCTCTCGCAAAGAAAGCTCTCGCGACTCGGAAACAGCACATCGGGGAGTCGTACACATCCTACATCGAAGATGTTCTTTCACTTTGCCGCCGGGTTGACACACCAATGACAGAATCAGACAAGGTGCGCCAGCTTCTTAAGGGGATTGCACCCGTCGCATTCAATGCCCTAGCGATCCAGAATCCGGCTACCGTTGCTGACGTTGCGACAACCTGTCAGCGCCTCGAAGAACTTGAGTCTATGCGCCTACAATCAGACAGTGACGCGGCCCGTATTACGACTGATCCAAACCTGCGAGACACGATAAGGGCGATTATACGCGAAGAATTAGAATCAATTGGATTCACACTACCTTCAGTGTGTCCCGTTCAGTCCTCTTCAACGTCATTGCGGGATGTCATCAGGGAAGAGCTCACGTCCATGACCCACATGGCCAACCTGCAGCCCATTGTCTCTCGTACTCTACCATTTCCCGCACACCGCCGCCGCACCACCAGGCACCGTCAGCTCGACGTCCCCGCCACGAACGTACGCGTCGGTTGCTGCCGCACCTCCCACAAGCTTTCCCACGAGCTTTTCATCACCACCGCGTGAGCCGTCACCTGTCCCCCTGACTTCTCTCTCTCCTGGTGCAGTTAGCGCAAGCTACTACCCAGCACCTCCACCACGTATGAAGTCTTGGTTTAGATTACCTTTTATTGGGCCCGAGGAACTGGCAGCCGACAGCTACGATGAATGAGCCAAGATGATGATGCTACGCGACAACGATGAGGATGCATGAGCCACACATGATAATGATGATAATGTACCGGTGAAGAGGATGCGTATACTAAATGCCCACAGTACTCGTACAAAGGGAGACCAGAATATTTATGGAGAGAACATAAGAACAGCACAGCTATCATTTTGTTATATTCTGGGATTTCAAGTGATGAAATGCGAATATAACCATTGAGAGGTGCACTGTAGTGTGCGGACAGTGATTTTAGCAAACCAAGGTTGTATCATGTGCTGCACAGTAGATGTAATTTTTTTATTGTAACTCCGTTGGAATATATTGCATTGCAAATGAGTTCTGCAGAAACCAACATGGTGGCAGAAGGGTTAGAAAAGAGAAAATAGACAACCACGCATTTGTAGCATGAAGCCAGAAGAACATTCCTATGAATTCGTCAGACAGAAAAGCTAGTTAGTTCGTATCAAATTCGTTCTCCTGGTCTGAGGGCAGGGCAAATTTTTTGGCAGCAAAGATTTTCTTTCTGAGAAATCCATACTGATTTCCATGGTTGTCTATTTTCCCTTTCCTAATAAATTGTATTGCACTGCTTTGTGTCGCATTGCATTGGAAGCTGTATTGCAACCACTGGAATACGGCTGCTGTGGCCAGGAATCAAGTCATGCTTTGCAGTGCAATGCAATAGCGATTACAGCACATAGAAAAAAGAGAGACTGCAGGAAAGGCCTCCAAGACGGAGTCAAGGAGTCTTGATTAAATAAATGGCCATGCACCCAAGGAATTTTCCAAGTGGTGTTTTGGTCGCGCGACAAGAAAAGGGACAAGCCCACTGACGGCAGACAAATGCGAGGAAATGGAACCAGCTTCGTGGATGGCAAGACCGCCAACAACTTGCACAGTTCCTCAGGTGGCATGGCACTGAGCACATCCAGGTGAATGCACGTATTTTCGAAAGAGCAGGGAAATATATGCGTAGTTCTAGTAAGAGATATATTTGCAGTAACTGAAGTAGTCGAGGGGGGTAGGAGAACAAAAGTTAGTTTGTCTGCTGCGATTGTTGCCTACAGCGCATGAACGTGACAGAGTGAATAGTAATAATTTGGTAAGCATCAACATATTCCTCGGCTACAACAACCGTCCAACACTACTTCTGCCACACCAAAAGACTAGGCATATACAAACACCTGGGAATGTGAACCGCTGAGCGTTCGTGTACACGGTCTCCGGAACGAATGGAGAAAACAATGCATTGAGAAGAGCAGCAGTGGAGAGAGAAACAAACAGTGGAATGCGCTAGCTTCAGGGCCAACCAGTCACCCCTTGAAGAAGAGGCCGAACAGGTTTCAAGACATAGGGCCAGTTTAAAAATTTGAAAACCAAAAGATACACATGATTGGAGAGTCCCTTAATTCTTATAATCTTGCCCAGCCAGACACACTTGTGTCATATATGTTTACTTTTAAATGCTACTTCTGTATGTCTCTGCCAATTTCAACTGATACTGTTACTTCATGTGTCACAGAAGAAAAAAAAAGATACTTTCAAGAGTTTAGACTTTCACGGCACTTTCTATTTGGAATTTTATTGGACATGTTATGCATCTTCAGTTCGTGCTTTCAATTAGCTTTTTTGTTGTTTCAGTTAAACCTGTAACTGTAGCCTGCTATCTTTTATCTTTAAATTTTCACTAAAGCCTTGAGTGTGCTCTAGTGTACTAATGATTGTTGATACCAAAGCATCTCTAACTCCCATCTCATGTATTTTTGTTGGCTTTTTCCCCTTTGTAATAATAAAGTTGACTGCCCTATCTATTCATTGGCTAATGCAGCTAACAATTAAAACTTGGCTTCTTCTCGCGTAACACGGCCGAGAAATAAGTAGAAGAAAACAGGAGCTTTACAAGTTACTTTTAAAGGCACGTCCGTTATTTGTAACCACGTGAAGTAACCCTTCACATTCCTGTGAATGGCTTGTCTAAGCGGCTATCATAAACTGAAGGTTTCCAGCATGGTGCTACTACTTTCCTCCGGCTACGAACTTGTACGGCCGGGAGCAATTTGCACGGAGCTTCCTTTCACGCAGAGGGAAGGACAAGCACCTTCCAATCCCTGATCATCACGAACGTATGCCGAGGCCTTCGCAAAGAGACCTAACTGTAGTAGTGGAGATAGCGAAGGCTCTAACTACACTCCTGCACGAAAAGACGGTCGCCGCGTGAAAAGGACCCATTCAACAAGCCCGGTATGAAGCACAGTGCAAGCCATGCCAGTATCACTGCAAGGACGCCTTCGTGGTTTAGTCGTAGACGAGATCGGAATGACGCAGGTTCTTGAAATATGTACTGTCGATGCCAATGACGCCGGCTGACTACCTATCAACAATGCCAACACGGCTTTGAAGACGAAGGCCGTTCAGCTGCACGTGCTCGCGGACAACGATACCAACCTGTGTCGGAGGTATTGCCGCAAGCAAATTGAGCGTACTTACTTCTGCCGATCGTCCACGGCAAATTGCCCACGAAGATTCGCAGAGCGCTTCGCGATGCCATGACCCGGCCGGCAAGTGGTGTGTGCGCTTCACACGTGCCTCAACTCGACAAACCACGGTGTAAGAATAGTTTACGCCGTGCGACAAACGAAACCCACTGCCGGTGGTAAAATGGATGGATTGATATGGCTGTGGCTGTACTACAGAACCATGACCTACTACACTCCTGACCTGCCCAGAGAGCACCTCTTCCAGCGCCCACGTTCTAGTTCATACCTTCTGCCGCTAGGGCCGTCACCTACGAGCGGCGTGGCGCTAGGCAGCACCTGTTCGCTGTCGTCTGCTTCAGCCATCGCTGTGGCAGTGCAAATCGTTCTTATTGTGCATGAATTGTGTATGAATGTGTAAAATATGGCAAATAAAGCGATATGATTCCTCGTCAGAGTGGCTGCATTCGTGTGGACGTTGAAGCAGAAATAGAACCGTAAAAAAAGCACACAAAGGGTCACAGTGGCAAGCAGACGGGAACTTTTCTACAAATGAAGGAAAATTTATTATGAAAATATTTCTTGAATGAAAACGTAGTCCAACGAGATAAAAAAACTATTGTTAGGCATTCATTGTTCACACTGAATCACGATGGTTCCAGACGATACGCATACACAAATTGCAGAAGATACGCAGAAACACAGTAGGTCGTGTGCAGAAACTTGCAGACGGCAGATAGCTGCAGTAGTCAGCTCTAATAGTGGCCGCGTGCAGTTTTTTTTTTTAGATGAGCTGACACCTCAAATGTAAGTATGGTGTATTGCTGCGTGCCATATTGCAAATCGGAACAAGGCAAACAAAGTAAAGTAAGTTTTCACGAGTTTCCTGCCACAGACATACGGGAAGAATGGATCGAGGCAATTGGAAGAAAAGGTGAGTCTTGTGTTTTGAGAGTCGTTTCAATTCAGAACGAGTTGCAAGCTAGCAAGAAGCACCAGGGGTGCTTTAGTAAACTTTATTTCCGTGTGTTATGCGAATTCACTGAGCTAAAAAAACATGAAAGCTTTTTTAAAAGTACCGCGGCTAATATGACAAACTCCCGTAGCGAAATTTGACGCACAATTTTGTTGTGTAGGTCACAGTAAGAGTTAAAGCTTCAATTCCTGTGTCTCTCCTTGATATGCGTCCGTGGGCGTATGTGCATTATTCTCTTCTATCAATTGACTACAAGTGTAACACCTGTCCAGGGCGAGTGTCCAAGGTAAGTGCTCAACAGGGGCACTGCGTTTCACCTGACGCGTCCTAACAACCTAAAATCAGTTTGATATTCTATTACCAATGAGTACATTATTAGTCAAAAGCTTATGAATACTAAATTGAAGTTTTTTTAGGCTGGAATGGCAAAAACAACCATGCAGCAAGACATTTCTACGCAAATATCAGCTTTAGAAGTCAATCAACCAGTATAGCCTAACTACTAAAATGTAACACATAGCACACGTTAGCCTTTTCAGCAAAAAACAATCACACGTATAGGCAGTTTGTCACAGAAGCAGACGCATGGTATCAGTCCGTCGCCCTCCTGCCGGCCGCACAGTAGCAGACGAACAGGTTATAGGTAGCGCCACCTACGGCGAGCGATTGAACGAGAGCGGGGACACGCGCTCCCATAGGAACCCCGTTATCTGAACAGGTCAGGAGTGTAGTAGGTCATGTACAGAACACCCACGTCCACTGGATGAAAGAGCGCACGGGCGCTTTCTCATCCAGCGGCCGTAAATCTTTCCCCCATATTCTAGAACGTCCCTTCACCCAATGCTTCACCTTCACTTGAGAAAGCCGATGGAAGCGCCGTCTTTAGGCACAGCAAATGACTGCATATCAGCAATAATTAGCCACAATTCTTGAATAGCGCAGCGTTATTTTTAGCCGAGCGGTGGCGCAGTGCTCAACCCTGTAAAGTGAAGGATGGAAGTCGAGTCGAGGAGCATTTGCGAATACCGGGGTTTAGGCTGTACCCGTTAGATCGGGCGGCGGCTAACGACACCTAGCCGTAATACTAGCGTACCAAAACCTAGATGTATGCTTTCCTTCCCTTGAAATAGGAAAATTGAGGACTGGTACTTTGCAGTAAAGGGTTTAATTTTCACTCATGCCTTAATTTTAGCCACCAATCAGACAACCACCTTCTAGGTAATTCTACCCACTTAAAGCCTATTTTGTGCTTCCTGTCTCTAAACCCCAGTGCTTTGAAAAACTCTACGCCATCATCCTCATAGGGTGAAGCCCTTTACAGAACATTATCAAATGTTCGGCAGTTTTCTCCTCCTCTCCACACGCACTGTATACCGTGTCTTCCCCTTTCGTATTGGGCCCGATATGTCTTGGTTCACAATTAATACTGCCGTTCTGGCCTCAAACAGTAGAGAACTACCCCGAGTATTATCATAGATTCTTTTTTTGGCGATTTCCAGCTTAAAAGTTTGATAGCACCTCTAGTGCGGACTTTTTAAACATGTCTGTTCTCTACATGTCGGTCTCCGTTTCCTTCACCTTCTTATTAACCCATAGTTCTTTAATTTTAGTTTGGCCCCCTAGCTGGTCTTTTGTAAGTATTTACACGTAGATTTTCTGCTTCGCTTCCTCCATTTTGTATCGACATTCCTCATCTACAAGTAGCTGAAAACCTAATTACTAGCCCAACGCTCCTCCCCCATTTCTCTCAATCGCTTCTCAAATTATATCTCAATTGCTGCTAACTTAATTTCCTACCCTGTAATGATGTCCATCCCATATCACCTTGTACTCCCTGGTTTGTTTAGTTTTCAATATCGCGTGAACCTCTGATCTCATGCAGAAGACCGCATTGCCGAGAGTCAGACCAGGAACCATGGCACCTTTACGAATTCGCCTTACCACATCACACCTACTGTAATTCCACAGTGCCCTATTTTTCATCACCGCTGCATTCCTGTTTCCTTTTGTGTTCTCTTAGGTACTCGGTCCCATATTGCTCATGCACTCGCCCAGACATTTGTATTTATTCGTTATCTTTAGCGTGTCCTCCTGTATCGTAAGCTCACTACCTTCATTATCATTAAAATCATAAACTGCTGATTTTTCATTACTGAATCTAACCTATCTCCCTAATTACCACAGATGTCTATCAATCCCTGCAAATCTTCCTTGTTGTCGGCCATTAGCACTATATAATCTGCGCACATCGATGCTGGTAGTGCCTTGTTGCGAAGGCGGACCGATCCCACCGCTGCCACCACTGTTGCGCACGACGGACCGATCCCACCGAAGCCACCACTGTTGCGAAAGACGGCGACGCCGACACGGTCCTGTAGGGCGCCACTGCTTTCAACTCCGCCGGGAAGGTCACCAGCCGTTTGGTAGCGTATGTATCTCAGCTCGCGACTGCTTCTGCGCCGAGCTGATAAGACGAGCGGACGAGACGACGGTGAGTTAAACAAGGTTTATGTACAGCATATATACAGAGGCGTTACAATTTCGGCACTGGGGCCGACAGAGACTCGAAGAGCCGAGCTCTCCTCTCTAACACATAGGTCAGCCTTTCGCCTAAGACCGCTGACTCACACACATGTCGGCACTCCGACACGGGGACTCCTCTCCTAGGACCTCCGATCGCGACGCGCCGCAGGGCTTCTTTTATCTACACCGGGTCCAACCAAAATGTCCAATCAGAAGCGCCGCTGGTCGTCAGGGCAGATTCCGCCAATGGGGGTCGCCGCGCCATGCGTCAGACCACCAGACACGCGGACGCCGGCTCGCTGTCACGCGCGCAGCTGACTCAACGCACGTGGGCCAGGAGGCGCCGCGCGTGTTCACTCCGTCGAGTTGATCGCGCCAGGCGACTGTGGGCTGGCCTTGACCAGATTGCCTTTTTCAGAGGCATGGTCGTTTGACGAGGACTCGCTGGCATAACAGCACCCCCCGCCGCCAGGACAATGCACCGGAAAGACGAGCTGCTTCCACGGGGCTCGGATGTCAGGTGCGCTCGTTCGCCAGGTCCCTCCAGGTTCGCCTCCAGGGCCATGGGGAGACTACAGCTCCAGACTGTTCCGGGAACACATCCCATTTTTGACGACGGATCCCAGCTCCACTGGCTTGTCGCCACAACTTGCTGACCAGCTTCACTCGTCTCTTCTGACCATCTTCGGTTTCAGCACTTGTCGATGGTTCTGCAACTTGCCAAGAACGGATCGACAACAGACAACACACGACACACGCAAGTGCCTTCGGTCACCCGACAGAACACCAGACAAAGTATAGTACAACATATACCTATCTACGTGTCTATCGGAATTTTATTCCCTCTACATCAAGAGGCACATGTGGGACACAAGACTCTTAAAATGACAACTCAATTTTTTTTTCCCACGTACAACAACGTAACGAATTAGAATACCACAAAGTTGGCCCCTTGAGATCACTCTGAACGAGAGCGCTCAGCCCAGGTCGTGATGAGGTCAAAATTTTGCCCCGAATCGCCAGCGAGAAACCGAAAGGTTGAGAAGTTACTAACTGGAACGCACTGCTCAATGCACCTGCATTAGCGTTTACCTTTCCTTTATTTTTTTTTGTTTTGATAGCGAACGTCAAAGTTGCGCTGTGGAGCAACATGCTCCACTTCAGTAACCGGCCACTTTTAGGCGACGATACCTATGCGGCACCAAGAGCGGCTCACACTTTCGACGTTGCACAGGAGAACAACGATACGGCTTGCTACGGATTGACTCCTCACCGCTTAGCTCGATATCGTGTTCGATCACCCTCATGTTTCCGGGGCAGTCCGAAAACACGTCTTCAAACTCGGAACCAATCTTTCTCAGGTCCTCTTTCTCAGGTCCTCCTTCACTTAAGCTAGGCTCTAGGTTTATCTGCTCCCGGATTACTTTCGATCCCCCTTCAATTACCTCACTAGAACTCAAAATCTCTGCTTCCTCTTCCTCTGAAGCATTCAACAACAGATTTACGACCGCTTGATGTTGAACGTATGGTTTCATCAAGCTGTAAATTTTGTCCGGCCGCCTTCCTAATTTCACTTCATAATTTGAATCGCAAGGCTTCGATAATACTGTGGCGGGCCCTTCCCAATCAACCTCAAGCTTGTTCCTTTTGGACGGCTGCAGTAGCATTACCTGATTATCAACTTCAAAAGCACTCTTCTTCACCGATTCCTCGTAGTGCTCCT